GCTGCAGTGCCACCAGCTCCAGCTGCAGTGCCACCCGCCCCACAGGCTGGCTGCCCCCAGGGCCTGCACCACTTACACTGCTGGCTTTGAGACTCCTGCTATCAACATGGCAAACTCTCCCACTGAAACCCAACTCCTGCGGGAAGTCCCATTCCCAGGTTTAACCCATTCCAGAGTTCACTCAGTAAGGCTTCACAGAACCTCTGGGAATAGCACCCCTTCCAGACCAAGGGAATAGTTTTCCCACCTACTTCCCAGCTGGCACCTTCCACACAGACGTGGCATGACACATTTTTCCCTGATGGGATGTTTCCTGATCTGGAATTGACTTTGCTGTCAGTGTTTTTCCAAACTGCTGTCTTGTATCTCAGACTCATGGGTAAAATTTGGAGAGGCTTTGGAAAACCTTTCCCAGCCTCTTATCCACAGAAATCCCTGTTCTCTCCCGGCACACTGGGCCAGGGAACACAGGCAGGGGCTCGGCGGGCAGGGGCTCTCTCAGCCCCCAGCTGCCTTTGGTTCCTCTTCCCAAGGGAGTCCCAGCTCTGTCCTGATGGGCAGACATGGATGTTTCACCTTCCCTTCCAGCCCCAGACACTGTCTGTCTGTCTCCACATCTCTCCTGTCCTGCTTCCTGACTTTGCTGCTTGGGGTTTGGCCTTTGAGCCTCCTGAGAAATGGTAAAATAACCCCCCAGAGTTGTGCCCCCTCAATGTAACCACTGACTGCAGCACATGCAGAAAATCCACAGAGAAAATGCACATTCAGTATTATTTTATGTGATATTTTAAAATATTCCACATTCTACCTGCCACAATCCAGCTGTCCCATGTGGCTCCCTGGCCTCCTTCCCTCAAAGAGTGAAAACCACACAAAACTTCCATTTGTTCCAATTAATGAGTTTCTCCTGCACCTCAAAGCTGTTCCCTCATATTCAGGAGATGGTTGTGCACAGGAATGGAAAGCACAGTGTGAGCTCACCCATCTCTCACCAGCTGCCTGGAGCTCTCCACACACCCACCACCCCTCGCCCCTGGGCCAGGCAGGGACCCACTGGGCACCTGTTCCAGCAGCAAAGGGCTGGAGTTTACCTGCATGGCACATGAGAAACTGCCACACAGCACCTGGACATCCTGGAGTCCCTCCCCCTCCACCACCCGGGCACCACAAACACCCTTCCTGCAGCAGAAGCCCCCGCCTTCAAACACACCCTGGCCTTCAGAGGGCAGGGACACCGGGCTGGGGCTGCCCCTCCCCAGCACATCTCCCACAGGGGAGGATTTTCCCTGGATAATTTCAATCTAAGCCCACACATTCCTAGTGGCAACAGAAACCATGTGGAATCCAGTGGCTTTGTGGCACGTGCTGCAGGCTTTGTCCAGTCTGATGCAATCCTGGGTGATGTTTTCCTGACGGTTTTTAGACAGAAATTCTTATTTTTTCCCGTCCCTAAACAACCGTAACCACCCTCCCTCCAACGCCACCAGTTCTCCCCTGCCCTGCAGAGAAATCAGTGTAATGCCTGAAGCAGACACTTTTCCTGGAATGCTGCCCCTGGAAGCACCACTGGCCACATTCAAATCACAGCTCAAGCCAACTCAACAAGTTATTAGGGAACAACAGAACAAAGGGCTTGGGAACTGCAGTTGGAGGTAGTAACACACTCTGCTCACACCATCCCTCAGTAAAAGGCTCCCAGAAGTCACCCTTTAACCTTCACTGACTCTCATTAACCCAGTCTGTCTATACAGAGACACAAAGGGATTCACCAGGAAAAGGATTTTCCCCAAGCCCAAATTCCAAGCCCCCAGAGCACGGACCCCATGCAGATGGGAGATGGTTTTATGGGGTCAGTGTCAGTCAGAACACTGCTTTTTCAAACACCCCTCACACTGCAAGCTACACAAGCACAATCTGGTTTTTAACAACCTGGCACCACTTGTCACTGCCTCACACCCACCCTTTCCTAAGTGTCACATAGGAATGCTGTCCATGCCACTGGGAACTGTTCACAGCACACCTGGCACTGACTCCTGAAGCCACACTCCCTGGGAAGGCCCCCCAGCCAGGTACTGGTGCTCTGAGGGACAGGGACAGGGCACTGCATCCCCACAAGGGCAGCCCCCTCCAGCCACCTGCCAGGAGGGGGGAGCCATGGGGGGGTCGGGCTCTGATCCCAGGGACAAATGGGGAAACAGCTTCAAGTAGTGCCAGGGGAGGTTCAGGTTGGATACTGGGAATAATTCCTTCATGGAAAGGGCTGTCCAGCCCTGGCACGGCTGCCCAGGGCAGGCGTGGAGTCCCCATCCCTGGAGGGATTTAACAGATGTGACACTTGGGAACATGGGTTAGTGGTGGCCTTGGCAGTGCTGGGGGAGCTTGGACTCAATGGCCTCAGAGGGCTTTTCCAACCTCACTGACTCTGTGGTTCCACAACCTCCCCCCACCCTCCCGGTGGGCAGCACACCCGGGCTGTGGGCAGGCACAGGTGGCACAGCCACAGAGGGCACAGCCCAGCACAGCCTCTGCAGCAGCTCCATGGCCTTGGTCAGAACTTCCAGAGCTGCATCCTGAAGCCCAGGAAAGGAAGCACTGCAGCGAGGAGCTGGCCATGGCCCACTGCTGACTGAGGGCAACGGGACTTGAGCAGGAACCCCCTGGCACTGGTGGGGTGTGCAGGGCACAGGGACACACGGGACACCCCCACTCCCGGCTCAGGACACACCAGAACCATGAGGAACACGGCTCCCACTGCCCCAGCACCGACAGGAACACCGGGAATCACAGAACCACAGCATGGTTTGGGTGGGAAGGGACCTTAAGGTCCACCTCATTCCACCCCCTGCCATGGGCAGGGACACCTTCCACTAGAACAGGTTGCTCCAAGCCCATCCAACCTAAATCCTGCTGTGTCTTCCTGCAGCTGCCAGCTGGGATGAGCAGATGACAGCCCAAGGATCCCTCTCTGGAGGGACAGGGGTGAGCACACAAACCCACTGTGAATTCTGAGCACAAGGGTCACAGAAGAGGCCTCAGCTGCAGCAGAGGGTTGCAGTTCATCAGTCAGTTAATTAATCGCCCAGGGTTCTGATCCATCCTTTTCTTTCCCTTGTTCATGAGTTTCACACTCCCAGCCCAGCCCAGCCCAGCCTGCTGACACTGCACTTAGTGCATGCCCACACAGTCAGCTGCTTTTTAACAGCTTTGCCCATTAATTATGCTTAGATACCAATTAAATACGCGTCTGAAAAACCTCCAGCTAAAAACTTACATTATGAGGGTCAAAATCAGGGGGCTGATTTACCATCTCCTGTTTTTTCCCCCCTCCTTATTTTACACTTTCATGTAACTGGAAATACTCTCTATGTACACAAACATTCTCCCCCTACAGACATGCAGGCCTGTCCCAGATGTCCCCACAGCTGGATGGAGAATGGCAGACAAGGCAGGCACACGGCAGACAGTGGCAGGCACAGGCAGGGACAGGCAAGCGAGGGAGGGGATGCAGGAGCCACATGCAGGAGGGGTGGCCATGCACACACAGGGGCATTAGGCAGCACTGGCTCAGGAGCTCAGAGGCTGGTTAGCAAGAACACCACAAGCCTGTTGAATCTGTGTATAATGCACAGAGGTGACACCTGGAATCGCTGCCTGAGGCCCCACTGCACAACAGCTCCAGGCAGGTGGGACCAGAGCAGCACCCAAAACACCACATTCCTCTGCTGGACAATTTGGGAATGTCAATGGCCACAGCCCACCCAGCCAGGGGCCAGAGCTGGGGGTTTGGGTAAAACCATGGCTGGAATTTAGTGCCTTGCTTTTCCTAGCAGGAAGTATACCCAACTGCAGTGAGGTGTCAACACCCTCTCCCTGAAGACTGGTGCTCTGTCTGAGCAATTTGTGATCAGCTAAACCAGCGAGGCTTTACACAAATTCAACAAGTAACTCAGCATGGATTTATCACAATGGGATGGAGATAAGGCCCAAGCTCACCTTGGACGTCTTCTTCTCCACCATCACCATCCTCTTCCTCATTGTAAGCCAGCTCAGCCTGTTTGTCTGCCTCATACTCACCCACGTTCCCATCATCCCCATTATAATCTGCCAGTTTAGAACCCTGCTGTGGGTCCACAGGGGATTCATTCTCATCAAAGAACCGGCCTGTGGAGTAGGAAAGGAGTGAGTCAGCAGCAGAGAGGAAAGAAACGGGGAGATTCTACACGAGAGCAGGTCACAGGTGGAGGCAGTTGGGGTCTGGGGTAGTTCCAGCTGGAGAGAGAGGAGGGAGAAGGGAGAGGGCTTGGACAGGGGGAGAACAAGGCTCATGGAGCACCCCCGTGTGGAAAGGACACGCTCTGTCACCCAGCACTTGGACCTCCTGGAATCTCACTGTCCCAAGCTCCTCTCTCCGTGGAGAAGGGCTGCAGTGAGCCCCCAAACAACCCCCCTGGATTGCCTACGGACACTGACAGGTTCTCTCAAAACTCTGAAGAGCATTGCTCCGTGGAACGTTCAGTATCCATTTTTCCTGTGGCATTTTCCACATGCTGCAGGGATCCACTGCTGATGTGGTGCCTGGCAATGCCTGCAGGGTGTGCCCAGCTGGCACAGGGAACCCAGCAGAGCCCTGCCCTGCAGTCTGACCTCGGCTTGTAACCACCTCATTCATTTGGCTTTACACTCTGCTTTCCTGCTGAGCTTTAACGGGGTTCAAAATGCCCCAAATCCAGTATTTTCACCTCCCAACAAAAAATTAGGAATAGTTCCAGATCCTGAAACAATGCACAAGAAAAACGGGAATTAGCTGGAACTGTGGAATGAGCAGACAGTCAGCCAGGCATCCAGGGAGAGACCACTGGTGTGACACCCAGTTCAGAGCCAGTGTTTCACGGGATGCAGGGAGAGCTGTTCCAGCCCAGCACAGTGCAGGCTGCTTGAAGGGAGCAGCTCTGAGTCTGCAGAGGCCACAGGCCTGGAGGATTGGGTATAAATGAAAAAAATGGCTTAAAGTGTGATACAATCTTTACAGACTGGGCACCAAGGCTGCTGGGGCAGGTGGTGAGAGATCTGCAGTGGGAGTAATTAACAGAGAAGTAAACGGGAGGATGATTTCAACCTCAGGATTAAAAGAGGACAGATATGAAAATGAAATTATCTCCCAAAACAATGAAAACTTTTCTATGTGGCAGTATATAAAGATCAAGACAGAAGCAGTACTATGGTTCTTCTCTGGATGGGGAGAAAAGCAGCAGAATCACACCCAGTGCAGCTCAAATGGACAGAAACAGCAGTTTCGGGTATTTTCACAGAACAAGCAAGAAGAAACCATCATCTATTTAGAAATCCCAAGTTCCATACATTATTCATTCCCTGTTCATGTCTAATTGAGTGATCCTGGCTATTACTGTTGGTATTTTTGACACTGCATTATATGCAAAACCCAGACAGGACAGGAGGATTTGCACATGTCAAACCTAAACTGAGCCATGAAACACAAGGGAATGTACCCAACTTCCAGCAAAAGCAGCCTGTGGATGTGCCAGAGGTACTGTGACACACAAGCACTGAATGAACTGAAGCTGACAGAAGGAAAGATTAAAATGATGAGGAGATCCCAGGAAATGCAGCAGGTCCACACAGGCTGTGAGCTGAGCTCAGTGAGCCCCTGCTGTGCAGGACCCCCCATAAGCCCAACCCACCCCATCCCACCCCTGCCATGGGCAGGGACACCTCCCACCAGCCCAGGTTGCTCCAAACCCCGTCCAACCTGGCCTTGGACACTCCCAGGGATCCAGGGGCAGCCACAGCTTCTCTGGGCAACCTGTGCCAGGGCCTCCCCACCCTCACAGGGAAGGATTCCTTCCCCAAATCCCATCTAACCTAAATATGAAGGAGCAAAGAGAACAGACTAACCAGTGACAAGTCCTGGCTCCCAGGTACCCCCTCCCAGCCTACAATGAAGACATTTCCTGCACAGCTCCTGCCTACACAACTAGACCCCCCATCATTTAAAACATGGCCAGGGAAAACAGATAATCCAGTAAAAACCCAACAACTTCAATAGGAGGGTCCCTCATTCCTGAAGCTTCTTCAGGAAGCTCCCTTGATAAACTAAGCAGCCTTGAAGACCTCAGGGTGCAGAGGGGAAGCCAAGACTGCCCAGGTTCTGTGCCAACTTAATACACCCATCCCTGCTGCATCACAGAGACCCATGAGTCATGTTAGAACAACCACAGTCTTCCCAAAAGATCTGTTTCTTCACAAAAATCTTATTTGGATAGAAAAACCCCAAGAGGAGATGTTTCAGCAGTAAGTTTTCCCTCCCAAACACTCCTTCCCCACCCAAGCACTACAGAGTCAGAACTGGGTCTTCAAAAATAGCATCACCCACAACACCCACGCCCATGTGCACCTGCCTGGAGGCTCCTGCCTTGAGCAGACATGGAAGGGAAGGGTTCTGGAACCACGTTCTGTCCAACACACATTGCCCCTAACACAAAGACCCCTGGTGTAAGGGCTGAATTCTTACAATATTGTCCAAAACACAGTATTTAAGTCAAGTAATACAGTGAGTAACTCAATATCCTGTGTGTATCAAAGTCCTGCCTTAATCTATTTAATTGTGCAGTCATTTCCAAAAGCATTCTAAATTCCAATAAGGAAATAATGTTTTAAAATAAAACGAATATACATGTGAAAAATAACACGTTAAAGCATATCTTTTACCCAGGAACACATTACAATCCTTCCCAGGCTCCCTCTCCAAAGCCACCCTCTGCAGTGGTCCCTGTTTCCCAGACAGGCACTACCACAGACAGAAAATGAAGGGCTTTGTTTAAGTTACTGAAGTGTGTGATATTGGCCAACTTACTTTGCTTAATCTTCTGCAAGTCGCTGACTCGGCTCTTTGGGAGTTTCATCTGGTCTGTCTCAATTTTGTGCTCTTTCTGGGTTTCCACCTTTTCTTCAAAATTCAGGTGCTGGAGGGAATTTGGAGGGATCTGCTTCGCGAGGTCGGCGTTTCCATCACTGTCACTGGGCAAACCTGCAGTGAGGAGGTGTCAGTGCCTGCAGGTCTTACATGGCTCCAGAGAAGGCAGAGGACAACTGTTCACATTTTAATTCCTAATCAATCCCACGTCATCACCTCCCCAGCTGACTGTCTGCACGTGCTTCAGCTCTCGAGGAAGCTCAGAACAACACATTCATGTACTTCCTTTATCCTCCCGCTGATTCTGCTTTTCAAGTCTACCCAGAATCATTTATTGTTTAGAGGTCTGATCTGAGGACAAGGGTTGGCAGGGCACAGAAGTTATGCTAAAAACAATAACCAGAATCACAGGACTCCATAGCCAAGGAGCCGAGAAAACCCTGATTCCCCTGAAATTCCCATCAAACCCCTGTCCACAAACTCCAAGTTCAACATAGCAAGCTTTTCACTTGCTGCATCTTATGTTTTCTCATCAATAGAAGTGAAAATGAAGGACCACCTTTAAAGGAAACGAACTGTTTAAAAGATTTGGCATTTGGAAACAACAATCTTTAACTGTGTATGCAGCCTTTGAGCTCCCTCACTTTGGAATTCTGCTCACACATCCTCTGCAAAAGCAAAGAAATAAAGAAAAACTTCTGTTGTCTTTTTCCAAAAGAACCAATAATGGGCAGAACAAAAACTTGGAGCTGTTTTGTCATTTTGACAACTTTATATTTAATTTATTAATATTAAAGTTATATCACTGCAGGAGTTTCAGTTCTCATGTCCTAAACCTCCCTCACATCATTCTCATGTGAGCTGTTCCCAGGGACAGGAGGACTGAGCAAGAGACAGGAACATTGGTTTGTCTCTGACTGTGGCCACCAAGAGATCAACAACCAACCCCTGAGGGTGCAGCCCTAATTAGTACCGCAGGGAGGAACACTAATTTCAATTACTGTCCACTGGAGGACTCTCCAAGCACTTATCTTGGAAACTTCTAACTCAGATTTGGCTGAAATCGGCCAAGAGGCCCAGGAATTCTGGGTGTGGAGATCATACACCAAGCAGCCCGAGTGCCTCAGTCAGCCAGGTAAGAACACAACCTTGGATCCTGCAGGAATTTATCTCTGGGTTTCCCTCTCGTAACCAAAATATTGCCTTGTCACCTGCTAACAGGAATTGTACCTGGTGCCAGGTTTGGAGCATGGGGCTGCTCAGTTGGGAGATTCACAGCGGGTGGATGACCTTCACCTTTAGGAGCTGAAATAAGTGTCTTCTTTAAAGCTAAAACAAAACACAGGGACAAAAGCATTAACAGCAAACAAACAAGACACTATTTACCTGGTCTAACTCCAACAATCCCATAAAGTCTTTGGTTTCCTTGTTTTCTTGGTTTTAAACCACAGATGAAAATATAAAATACAATAATATTTCAGGAGGGGGATTATCTGAAACATTCAGTTTTGAGCATTCCAACCTCTAAAGCACAGCAGCAATGATCTGATTTTACACTGCACTTGAATTTTATTACCACAGAGATTTCAAAGCCCTGCATTCACTGTGAACCACATGGTGTTCACACACAATATATACGTCACCAAGACCCCAAACATGAAAGAATTAGAGTATTTCTCCTCACCAGTGGGAGTATCTTCAGCTTTTGCTGGGTCATTATCTTCTATTTCAGGCATGCCTGCATCTCCTCCTGCTTTGATTTTCTCTGCAAGACAAGAACAGGATATTCTGCCTTACTAACCTTTCAGTCTGAAGAGTGAATTTCCCCCTTGTGGGAGGCTCTAACTTAGTAAAATCACTGCAGCTAATCAAGTTATCTGAGCCAAACAATTCCTTATTCTGCTTCAGAGAAATGCACAGTTCTGGAGGACGGCAAAGGATGCAACACAACTGGGCCATTCTCCATCAGAAATGCCAAAAAAGGAAATACCTTTGTCATTTACAACATGCTCTGAAGGCTCCTCATTCTTCTCTGTGTCTTTACCTTCCCCCTCTGCAACAGTCTCAGGTACTGCCTGGCCATCATTGCTGGGACTGACTTCAGTGTCTCTACTGGACTGAATTTTTTGTGTGGCCTGTTAGAACAAATTCATAAGGAGCCAATATTAAGCACATGCCTGGAAATTACAAAACAAATGCCCCCGAATTCAAGATTACTTTGGGTAAGCAAAATTGCATTTATGACCTCACTGACAGGCAAAGTAAAGAGCAGAGTCCTCTCTGTACAAACCTGGGTCCTGGGGTATGGACACACAACTGAACAGACAATGCACAGAACAGCACAGCTGCAGGACATTTCTACTGCCAGATCAGCTGCTAAGGACAACACCAACAGCTTAAGGCATGGTTGGCCTCAAGCCTCAGGCCAGACCCCTGAAGGAATTCTAGACTTTAAGAAAAGATCTGTTGGAAATCTGCTCTCAGTCTGCCTTATTATTTGAGATGTTTATAGACAGACAAAGGAAGAAAAAATTTTAAGCAAAGCGGGTTATTTCATCAGTTTGCAGGAAAGAGGCCCAAATTCTACTGGCAGCTCCATGTAATCCCAGCCTTGATTCCATTCCAACCCCATTATTTCCATCACATTAGCACCTCGAGGCCTCAGCAGAGCTCAGGTTCCCTCTGCAATAACCTGGGCAAGGCTGTGGGAACACAGATCCCACCCTGGAGAGCTGAGCAGCAAAATCCACGTTCCAGGAAGAACTGAAACCCTCAGCAATGCTGGATGGAGGAAGGCTGGAGCAAAGCAAAGAATCTGGCCTCATCTTCCAGCTCAGTCCACTGGCTGAGCAAACAGGCAGATTTCCTTCATTAACACCCATTTAGGGCTGCTCAGGGGGATGTTTAACACAGTGTTAGGAGAGAACTGTCCCAGGCCTCCACACCCCTGAGGCAAACAGCAGACCTTGGGCTCTTCTCACTCAACACAGAATTCCCTGGCATTACCTTTTGTTCCCGTGCAACCTGGTCCATTAATTTCTTGATGTTCTCTTCATGCTGCAGCCTCATTTCCTTGATCTGCTGCCCACACTGCAGGCTTGAGGAGAAACACACCATTAGATATATTTCATTTGTGGTATCTGCTCTCCCACAAATCAAATAAGGGGGAAAATATGAAGTGGCACAAAAAGCCAAACCTGAGATATAACTAGAATAGTCTGTCCAAAAAGCCTGGTCCTGGCATGTGCATGGAGTGGGAATGGACTGAATACAGAAAGAAAGCAGAACTGGAAAAAATAGGGACAGAGCAGAAAAAACAGTAAAATAAACAGAATGGCCTTGAATATATTTCCTCCAAAAGCTGGAATGCAACCAAAAAGTCAAGCTCCACAGTTAATCTGTCAGCAAATATTAATTGTACCGGGAAAGCAACGTGTCTCTCATGGCTGTCAACAGAGAAGGTACACAACTACCACTATCAGTTACTGCTCCCAACTCAAATAACATGATCTGAATACACAGCCACGTGTCCCAACTTCCCTTACAAGCCACAGACATCAGCCTGAGCAGCAGAATTCCCATCTCCCACAAACCCTCAACAGCACAGAAGGAGCATTTTGTGTTTGTGAAAGCTTCAAACACTTTAGTTTAACCTAAAACTCTAAAGTGTTAAACCTCCCTCACTCCTCAAAGCTGCAGGAGTATATTCTTCCTGTTTCTCCATCACCAATTTGAAAGACTGAGGTCAACTTAAAATTTTAAGTTTAAAATTTTAAGCATGACTGCTTTCAGCTTCAGTTAAAACAAATGAAATTATACTGTTAGAAAGGCAGCAATTAACAACACTAGTGACACAGTTTAATGGACACTGTCCATTAAACTCTGCCATGTGTTTGTTAACTAAATCTCCATGTCATAAAAAATGCATTGACTTAAAAATGCTGAATAATTCCAGAGTAAGTCAAGATTCCCCTTAACTCCTATCTCACTTTGAGGGAGGGGTAGGACACCACCAAGAAACAGAACTTGAAAGTCAAGCAGCCACTGCTGTGCATTGCCAAGTGAGCACACTGGAGCTGGAGGATTAGCAGACACAGGATTAATTAGCACTTTTTAGTAAATACAGACCCCCATCACACGCACAAACTTGCAGTTCCCAACACTCCTGAGGACACACCTGTCATATTCCAGCCTCCTTGTAAGGTAGGTGTTGTTCTTCTTGTACTCGTGCAGCTGATCCTCCTGGCGGATGAACTCCTGCCGCAACTCCGCCAGTTGCTCTAGGCCAGAAAGGAAACACAGCATGAACTGAGGGATACAGGAAAAATGCCCTGGGGCACACACAGCTTTCAGTATTGCTAAATAAGTAAAAAACTGCTTGAGTTTTATGTTAGTTCACCTAGATATAAAGATTCTTAAACTAATTTGAAGAAGACGCCACTTCAGTCATGTAAAGACGAGTGCCAGATGGCAGCATGAGTTAGACAAGTTCTCCTGATGCTATGGCAAACCCCCTAAACTTTTATTTACCTTAGCATTGTGTAAGGCTTCTGAATGCAATTTCACCATCTGTCAGGAAATGCAATTTCCTGAAAGATTCTGTGACTCTGAGTAACACAAAGGCACTACCAGGTTACTTCAGGCACGATGCTCAAATATTGTCTGTAGTGACTGTACGAAAGGAGCCACCTTCCCACTATCCATAAAATCAACACGTATTTCCTGTCTCCACAACTGCTCTGGAAGTTCTCCCTGCTCCTCAGGCTACAAGTAATTAAGCTTTCTGCTGTTTTAAGTTGCAGCTGCACAGATACAGGCAGAAACCACGTGTGCTGTTGTGTGCAGGCACGTTCACGTCTGGGCACTCGCTGCTCCAGCTCCCTCTGCAATACTCCAGACACAGTAAGATCACAGGCATTATAATCATGCCTGTACAGAACAGCCTTAAGAGATGTTTTCTGGAGTTTTTCTGACCCAGCATAACCATCACAGTGTTTCTGATCAAACTATACTAAACTGTGTATTTGGCCATGAAAACAATTCTACAGCCTTGGAAGTCAGCAGTGCCAGAGCACACGTTCCTCCTGCAGACAGCCACGTCCACAAGAGCCACCCCTGCACTCACCCACACCAGGTAACCAACAAACACAATGGGACTGCACATTATGGGATGCTCCAGCACAACCTGATCCTTCCTTTAAACTGCATTCTGCAGCACCTGGGCAGTTAAAGTGCACAGCTCCAGCCTGCCAAGTGAGCTTGGCCGTGAATCCCTCACCCTTTAGCCGGTGTATGTCCGCCATCTGATACGAGATGTTGTTCTGCAGCTTCACCTGGAAGGAAGAAAAGGCTGCATAAATACAGGTAACAGGGTTGGCGAGGGTTTGGGCTGCAAACACTCAGGTGTGTCTGTTTGCTTTGTAAAGCCAGTTATGGAGAGGATTACGGGAATGAAAAAGTTCTGGGAAATCCAAGTCCTGTGTATTTAGTGACATCACCAAACTAACACTGTGTTCAGGCTTTGCTAACAAGGGCTTAAATTTAATTCCAGAATACATTTCTATCAAAAAAGTAGATTGTCAGGACTAAAATAAACACACTGCATCCTGATACTGCAGGAGGGACAGTGAATGGCCAATGTCAAAGCACAGGTGGGTAAAACTAAACCCGCAGCATCAACAGCAAAACCAACTGTTACCTAAGGTATATCATATAATAGAATTGTTACATTTAAATAAATCTCTTATGTGTTGCTACTTAATATTCCTAACAGACATTTTATTTTAAGAGGGAATCTGACACCGGTAAAATTCCACAACAGCTTTTAATTTGGTATTTTCAGTAAGGAAAAGAATACCAGTTACAGTAAGTAAGAAATGCATGTACACAAAGTCTTGAAGTAAAGACGCTTTTTCCTGTTGTTACATAAAGACAAAACCCAGCAGGAATGAAGAGGAAGATCCATGAACTGACTACACTGGGAAAGGGTGGAAAATCCCCACCTGCCATGAAGCACCTCAGAGGTTATTCCTCTTGCAGTTCCATGATGATAGAAAGGGTAACTCTAGGAAGGTGCTGAGTGGGGCTGTCACTCGTGGGGGACAAGGTCAGCATCACCTCTGGGGCCAGCAGTGCCAGCACAGCCACTGGGCTGGCACCCCCACCCCCACACCCAGGGGCTGTTTCAGCTCCCCCAGCCCTGCAGTGTCTGGGTCAGTCATCTCCACTTCCTACCAAAACAACCCCCAGACACACCTGCCCTGGAGGACTTCCTGCCCCCACCTCTGCCTTCCCTTTGTCAAATCATCCATTCATGTCAAGCTCTTTGCCGTTGTTTTTGTTGCCACCAGAGGCCCCCGGGCTGATCCCTTTGTCCCCTGTGGTGTGATCAGGCTCCTGCCCCGGGACTGCAGCCCTGCAGGAACTGCTGC